AAATTTTATGTTCAATTTGACGAATACATGTACGGTGATAATTATAGAATTATTTTGACTTCTTCCTTGGAAAGTCCAATATGAATGAGTGTATATTTAAAGGCAAACACCATAGTGCGGGTATTACTGTCTCATGACAGCATCTAGTTCACACTGTAGACAAGAAAGATGATTTCTATTCATGGCAGGTAAAATCACACAAAGAATCAAACAAAATGAAAACGAATCGCAGTTGCATATCTTAGTTACATATTTCTAGTTCCTTGTCGTTGAAACCAGATGGACTAAAAATTTCCTCTGCTTTCGCCCCTCCCTGTCCGCTTGTTTATCCGTTTGACTAGCTTCTGTGTATGTTGCATGACTTTGATGAGTTATAGATTAATTTTTATTTTTGATCCACTTCAGTGATTTCTGATAAAATTTTCAATTTTAGAGGAAACCAGATTACACGGTATGGGACTAGTATTGCTAATGTAACACTCCCACAACGCTTTATTTTTTAGATTCTTTTAATCCCTAAATATTCATTACCTTAAAGTTATTTTGATCAACGTTGATCTGATTGCATCAAGTATAAAATATACAACATATTCTGAACTAAAATTCATTCTTAACCATTAGGATCTTATTGTTTTCAAAGGTAGATAAGCAGGGGACAAACGGTACTTACAACATAGATGCAGAGGATCCGGCCTGTAGTAACTGGTTACGATTCGTTAATTCTCCCGCAAAATATCAACAGGAAAATATTGTTCCTATCACGTGCGAGGGCATCATCTTCTATATGACGTCACGTGACGTAGAGCCGGGTGAAGAACTTCTGGTCTGGTATGGGGATGGATATGGGAGGTTTTTAGGCGTAAACCGCATACATCCGGGTAATGAAACAATACATTTCATGGTTAATTGTTTCCATCCGGGTATTTAAACAATCTACTTATCAGATAACTTGACCATATACAATGTGGTCATTAAAACATTTTTATGCCCGCGTGAACAAAGTTTCGGGGGTTTATAGTGTTTGTCGTGTCCATCCCTCTGTCTGTCTGTCTCTCTCTCTTTCTCTCTCTCTCTCTCTTCTCTTGTGTGTCTCTCTCTCTGTCTGTTTGTCTGTTTGTACGCGAAAACTTTAATACAGCCCATAGCTTTTGATTTAGTGGAGCTTTGACTATCATATTTCACATGTGTATTTTTTGTGACAAGACCTCTCCTAGGGTACCACATAACTTGACATTTTGACCTTGACCTAGGAGTTTGACCCAGTTTTACATAAAAATCATAACTTTTACTTTGGTCATATTTGAACATTGGATACCAGGGTTGTCATAATTTACATATAGTTCACATATATATTTTTGTTAAAAGACCTCTCATTGGATACCAACAACTTTGACCTTGGAGATTTTAGTACTTGCGAAAAACTTTAAAACTTTAACCTTGGCCATAACTTTTGAACGGTAACGTCTAGGGTTTTTATATTTTACCTAATTGATCCTTGTGACGAGAACTTTCATTCGATATTAAAATCCCTGACCCTTTGACCTTGACCTTGGAGTTTGACACATTTTTACACGAAAAATCCAAACTTTTACTTTGAAACTAATTTTTTCAATGGTAGATTCTAGGAATATCATATTTTAAATATATTATTTATCATAAACTTAACCTGGCCATTACATTCGAATTGTAAGATTTAGGTCTTCCAAACTTCACTTACATTGGATTTCAACCCTTTTAACACTTTGACCCTGACCTTGGTTTTTGACCTACTTTTTACAAACAAATCGGAGGTTATCCTACCTTTAAAAACGCTTACCTTGGCCGTTACCTTTGAACAGGTTGTGCAAGGGTTTTCTATGTCATATTTGTATTTTTTGAAAAGGCCTTACTTTATGTACCAACATATGTGATCTGCATTTGAGAAACCTTAACCTTCGCTATGTTGCCATACGGGGGTATCAAAGTTTCACAAACACATCTTGTTATTGCATGTTGTTGTTTCTTGGAAGGATTAAAGACGTAAACCCCATACACCTAGGTATATACGGAAACAATTAATTCATAACATGCTTTCATTTTTATCAAATGCATACAATAACAAAAATATTTTTGTCAAATTTCTCTACAATGTAATTGATTAAAAACTTGATACTCTTTAATCAAGAAATATGTAGATTATATTTTAACACCTTTGATAAAAAAGTTATTTAGATTTTTTTTGCTTTCTACAAATCTGATTTTAAACTTAAAAAAAAAAACATTAAATCTGGAAAATATATTTCTGCAGTGTATCAAAATTGTTTATTTCTAATTTCACCCATAAACATTATATTCCTATGTTATTCAAATTGAAATAAAGTTTGGCCTAGGTTTGCTTATGCTCGTTAGAAAATATTCTATTGTTACACATACCACGACGCAAAAAAAAGAATACTTTCCCTTCAAATGTCTACTGAATTTGGATACAGCAGATCAAATTTTATAATTTTTTGAGCATTCAGGATGTAAAGCAACAACTCATATTGTATCGATGGTGTTTCAAATTTGAAGATTATATAATTTTTTTCTTGTCTTTTTCTGTAGAAGTTGATCTCAACGGTTCATTTGCATTTCGTGCCAATGTTTTGACATTTGACGACAATGAAAGACTCATTTTTGATAATTGGACACCAGTGACGTATCAGAACTGGAATCCTAACGATGAGAGCGAGACAGCAGTTGACCCAATCTTTGGCCTCCTTTTGACTTATCATAACGACGGCAGGTGGCGCTGGGTGACTGAGAGAAACTACACGTACTATACGGGAGAAGACGGACTAAAACTTCCCTTTATTTGTGAGGATTCTCCATTTTATTTGAAGCATGAAGAGTGTTCTGTTACATAATGATTCATTCTCTTTTAATTAAATAAACATTTGCTACCATTATCTTTTGTTATATAATTTCATTAAGCATGGTGTATAAAGTTCTAAATCATAAAATGGAGTATTCTTAAGTTAACGTATATTCGTCTCCTCGGAAGTCATCTAGATTTATCCTCGGATCGTACATTCCTCTCCTCGGAAGAGATCTAGATTTATCCTCGGATTGTATATTCGTCTCCTCGGAAGAGATCTAGGTTTATCCTCATGTTTTAAATAAAATATGAATAGCATGTACACAAAGACAGACAGTGCATTATATTGTTTCGTTATTTTCCCAAGGAAACTGACTGGGCTCTCCTCGCACCATACAAAGTGTTGTTTTTAAAATTTCTATCTGTAATCCAAAAAATAAGGGGCAAATATATTTTCCTAGGACGGTCGGTCCAGTTGTCTGTTTGTTTGTGATTTTTTCCAATGATTTATCTGTAAATGGGGAAATCAATTAGCCCTGACTACAGCCTTTAATTGGTTTGAGCTACGGATTTCATATTTCACAGGTTTTTTTTCTTTAGTTTGACGGTTAGTGTGGAATTTGGAATTTGAGCCTTGATCATATGAACCATGGCTTTAATATTTCACTGGTGTATTCAACGTGTAAAAACTTTTCCTAGGGTAAAAGTATTTTTGACTTTGATCTTTATGTTTGACTCACTTTTAAAGAAATTTTCATTTTTTTTTCTTAGCCATAGCTACTACACGGTTAAATCAAGTGATATCATACTCCTCAAGCTTATATTTTGATAAGACCTTCTCTTGAGTACAAGAAGTAATGACCTTTAACCTTGATCTTATGGATTTGACCTACTTTTCAAAAACGTAAACTTTTGTCGTATTTACTGAATATTTTGTGCTAGGGGTTAACTATTTTACGGGTTCATTTCTTGCGGTAAGAGCTTCTCTTGAATACCAATATTTTCTTTTTATATTTTTATCCTTTTATTTTGACATCAGACTTTGACCACCTTTTGAAAAAACTTTGGTGATAACTTTTGAATAATTGATTTCGTGACTTTTATATTTCACCTGTGTATTCTTTCTGAAATTCTTTTGGGCATCATAAATATTGACTCCTTGACCTTGTCCAGTTTGACCTACTTTTGAAAATCTCTAACTTTGGTCATAATTACTGAACTGTTGCTGCTTATATGGTTTTTATTTTAGAAGGTAGACTCATTGTTAGGAACGTTTCTTTTGGTAGCAAAACTACTTTTATATTGACCTTGGTGTTTGACCCGCAAACGACAACATTTATCATAAGCCTCTTTGTTTCACAAACTTTTCTTGAATTTTTATCATTAGCTCCTAAAACTTTTCCTATTGATTAATAAAAAAATTCAAGTTCTAGTCTATCAGATTTTTGGATATACTAGTATATAAACCATCGTATACACATTGCATAAAGGAGAATGACTTGTCACACATATTGAATCATTTTTTAAAGATGTAGTCTCATAATTACAAAAGTTTTAGCAAACATATTGATTAATGTTAGCTTGCTTTTTATTTGCAAAAGCAGTTGTAAATATAAGATAACATCTTTCAAAAAATAATGAATCGGTGCTCATTTTTTTTCTAACTCCTTGTCTTGTTTTGCAAATTTGATTTTTTTTCTAACTTACTTAAATTATCTCTAGCCTAAATAATGAATTTAAATGATCATTTAAATGATCTCAAATTTTGCTTTTAAGATTTGTGACGTCAAAATAAAACGCGTATTACAAATGTAACCTTTGAATCCCCGATCAGTGTTAGAGTGTTTTGAAATAAATAAAACACACAAAAAAAATATATCTTAACATCTTTATTACAATAAAACTTGTCTTATCCGACATGCACGGGGAACAGATTAAAAATATATGTATTGGAATAAACAAGATGTAGTATTGCAGCGTGTAAAGATCATTGAGATAATTATAAATGACAAATGGAAATAAATGGCTGAAATCACAGTAAAGAGTATTGCATGTGTCGGATTAAACAGGTTCCATTGTAATAGGTTTAACAATAAAGTAATCTTAATCCTAATTCTCCGCCTAGTTATCTCCATTCATCAGTGTTTGGAAAAAAAGAACGAAATTTTTCTATTTTCAAATTTATTACAACACATATAAAATACATCTTTTACTAAATACATCCAGTATCGCTTTACAGAGCCGTTCAACCACTTTCTTTTACTGCTTGTTACTTGATGTTAAATATAAAAAAAAACTCAGCGATAAAAATTAATTTAAAATCATCTCTTGAGGGTTTCCATTATCCATGGATGATCTTTCGTCTGTCAAAAAAAAAAATTAAATCAATACTTTACAGATAAATGTATGATAGCATATCTTTTCTATTAAAAGAAAACAACTTTTATAACTGAAAAATTCAGAGTGATACAAAAAGAAAAAAATGGATATTAAGATGTAATTATGTTTACCTAGTTCCGTCTGATCATCATTGAAGTCGCCTTCACTGATGTCCCACTCTATACTGTAGGATACCATGGTAAGGTCCAGTCTCCTTCAGGTGACCAGGGACCGTTAAGGAAGGCGTAGTGACAGTAAGGTTCCATGTATAAAACTATTTTTAAACATAATACATGTTAGGACTTTTCATTAAATTCATTACACAAAATCATACTATATTTATAAATTTGTTATGTAATATAACATCGATACCAACATTTATGTCTAACAATCAAATTTTCATCACTTACACTAAAAGTATATAACTTTTCATATCATGCGTGAACAAGTATGTATATAAAGATATAAAAAGTCAGGTAGGTTTGATCATCATCCGAGTTTCTTTTATCTGTTTACCATTAGTCACTGTAGGATACCATGGGTAGATCCAGTCTCCCGGGACCAGGGACCGTTAAGGAAGGCAAGATGACAGTAGTTAAACCACCAGCCCCCTCTAAGGTCACTCCAAGTAGCACAGTTATAATTCCACCTGTCGTTATCTCTGTCCAGGGTACTGAAGGACATCCCAGACAGATAGAAACGAGAAGAACCGGTGTGTAACATAGAGTCTCCTGTAGAATTACAAAAGAAAAAGATACATGGACACTTGATTAAAATAGATCAGTAGATTTATATCCACTATACCCGTCGTTATCTCTGTCCGGGGTACTGAAGGACATCCCAGACAGATCAAACTGATCAGGAATACCAGTGTCAAACATAGAGTCTCCTGTAAAATTATCAAAGAAAAATATTACATGAACACCTATTTCAGATTAGATCATTATTATTTACTAAACATTTAAAGCTTAAAGCATCTATAGTATTCAAGAATAAAAACTTTTTTTTGAATTACTTTAAATTGCATTACTTTCAATTACAAAAGATTAACACTGTTTTCATTTAGTATTTAACGTTGTTTTTCTGTTGTCATTTGATTTCTTTTTTGACTGTATACGAACATATTAAGAGTCTCAACAGAAGTGAAAGAATGATTGATTGATTGAATGTATGCAGTTTAGCGTTCCTCTCGAGCATTTTTCACTCACATGGTGACGCCATCACTTGCCGGTTGAGAACTAGAAATTCTGTTTTATAATACAAGTTATACAAGGCAATTGAGCGGTTCGCTATGTTTTTTTGTACCAGCATCTACTACGACACAGGACCTTGATTTATACCATTTCATCCGAAGGACCAGTCTGCACGCGCTACAGTGGGATTGGAACCCGCAACTTTAAGATTCCTTAGTTCGCGGCTCTAACCACCGCGCCACGCGGGTGACATCAATAAAGTTAATTATTATTTCATTCATGTGAAGCCTTACTTAACATTGAAATGGGTATGCCTATATACTTACATATCAAGAAACAATAATTTCATGAACCAATAAATTGATATAACATTAGAAAATAAAGGTTTGATATTTTTCTTTTTTTTGGGGGGGGGGGGGGGGGGGGGGTTCACCTCTTTCAGTTAACAGAACAGGAAACTATAGCTTTTCTTCCATTTTATCAACACATTGATCATTAGAATTCTTCAAATTTGTGCGACTACACGTAGATACAACTTGTGTAGTTAACTTCTTTCTTTATTGTTGTATTTCTTTTGTTATATCTACTATTTATATCTTCAGCACAAAAGCGGGATAATTACAAAAACTCCTCGTTATCGACTGTAATTAATTACATTTCCAATGAAAGTGTTTTTTTTAATTCAATAATCGTTTAACACCTTAATTGATTTCTCTGTATGAGTTATGTATCTGACAACATTACGTACAAGTACGCATGTAGAGTTTATGACGTGGAAATATTCAATCTTTTAGCAATTTATTACTGATTGGCTCTTAAAGTATGGACTCTTGATTTTCAGTATACAAGGAAAATTTTACTTTCAAAATATTGATATCCACACATCCCCCTCCATTAATTACATAACTATAGGGCTGATTCTCAGAGAAAGAGTTGGTATTTGTCTATCTGTCACAAGAAATTAAACTCTTTTTCCCTCTCTCTCCTTAATATAGGTCGTCATTCGTACATTCTTTTTTCAGTTTACCTACCTAGGGTCCCGGTAGCTGGTCCGCCAAGAAAAAGTCTGTATTTGCTGGTTTCGTCAGCAACAGAGAACTGGTTGTATAATTCATAGAGTTTTGTCCCATTAGTCAGTGTGATAGATACGTAGAGGGAGGAGTTCCCTCTCTTGGTAAGTTGATGGATAACGTCATTTCCTTAAATATTTTATCGTCGTGTAATATATAAAGAATCAGTAAAGCAAAACATATTTATTTCCAGTTGTCAAATAATTCAACATACGATTATGAAGGTATGCAGAAATTTCTAATTGTGAAGTGCATGCAGCAATGAATGCACATTTTTCTTTAATCAAAGTAGGGAAATCATTATATATTGTATTTTACATAAATTGTTATAAACTTCATTTTAACTGCTAAAAAATTAAATGCTAATTTAAACTGTTAATAATCAGAAGAATTATCATCCCCTAAAACAACATAAAATATTACACAGTTATAGAATGGGTACAATGTAAATAGCAAATTAATGGTTCCCCGAGGGAGGGGAATATTTCTGCATCTGGAATCTTAACCCTCGGGGAGCTATAAATTTGTCCTCTGTAGTCATTCCATAACTGTATATAGTTTACCAATCCAGTAGGATGCGTTAGGATTCCCGAATCCCGTCTTGTAGTCTGTCCAGGTTCTATCGAAACTGACTGACCCATTGACACGTCTCTGGATAGCCTAAGGATTTATGAATTATGTCGGGTTTAGTAAAGAAAGTAGTGAAGTTATTTTTTTTAAGTTATGATTTAAACACAAAAGATTCATACATAAGTCTTCTTTAATTATATTAATACCAACAACTATTCAAAGTTGAAAAAAACTTTGTTATCAAAATTATGATCTATAATTTTTTTTTCTATTTTGTAATTAAAATATTTATTTCGGAATTTTATTATCCTCCTGTAAACAAGGCTAAAATAATTTAATGTTAATTCAGCTAAAAAATAATGATTGCAGATTCAAAATCAAAGTTTAATAAATTATTAAAGAAATAATAGTTAAAATTTATGGTTGAGTTAAAAAGAGAGGGAGAGAGAGAGAGGGGGAGGGAGAGAGAGAAAGTGAGAGGGAGAGAAAGGGAGACAGAGATCAGAGAGAGAGAAACTCAGGAGGGTTAGAAGGATAGAGAGATCTTACTGTCCACCCCCCACCTTCTGTCATCATGTCACAGAAGACGCTGACCTTGCTTTCAATACCAAATGGATATATCTCATAAACACCAGATTCTGTATTGCCATGGATATAGAGTTTCTTACAATCTTTATATAACTCTGAAAGCAAAAAAACAACAACATAAATACATGATATGGTAATAACCGTAATGTACTCTGAGAGAGAGAGAGAGAGAGAGAGAGAGAGAGAGAGAGAGAGAGAGAGAGAGAGAGTTACCTGACTTGATGGTTTCCAGTATACTACTCTTCAAATCTTCGTGGATGTTAGTTTCATTTTTCTTAATCCGCGCGATTTCTTGTTTTAAGGAATCTATCTGTTTCGCGTTCTCCTGTCGTAAGTACTCAATCTTTTCGTTCAATATTTCAATCGTCTGATCATTACGGTCGCAGTAATTTTTGTCGTCGACATAAATTTGCTGACAACTAGCTGCACAAAAGAACAAGACGTACTTGAAGATAGCCACCCAAACTCCTGCCATGGTTTTACTTCACGCTGTCTGAAAATAAGCTTCCCTAAAACAATCTGTAGTTTATATACCCTAAAATTGGGAAGTTAAAAGTTTCCCTAATATATTACTCTACCGAAACACTTAACGTTCAGCAGCGAATTTTATACGACAGTCAAGAAAAAAATAAAATATTCAGGATGTATGGTCATAGGTCAAGCTCAGACTAATACTGGTAGTGGATGGCATTATAAACATTGTATATACCAGTTTTAAAACTTAAAATGGACATATTGTTTTTGACCACTACATCTTTAACAAACAGAAATAGATATATAAATCAATATATACTGGACAAAAAAGAGTTAAGGATCATCAAATTAAATATGTTTTACAATTACTGGATCATAGAAAACAGAATGCATTTTTAATTTAAGTATCATATTTTATATTTCAAAAGTGAAAATTAAACATTAGATGTGATAAATTTGTTTGAACACACGATACGAATTGTTCATTAAGGTCACTTTAGAATTCAGCATTCTTGGGTTAGACCTGAAAATGATATTTTTTCCGAAGAGTCAATTTACTTCACTAGAGCGATTGTCAGTATTTTGTATGACCTCACCGCAAGACCCTGCAGCGCATACTCATGTCAGCTGTTCAAAGCTAGCCTGAGGGATCTGTTACCATTCCTCCTGCAATGCTGTACTATGAGATCAATCATTATCGTCCATTAAGATGAAATCATCCCCGATTATGTATGTAATACGTCAACCTATAGGATGAAGAATATCATTTCGGTATTTTAAACCTGTCAGGTTGCGTTCAATAATGTGCACATCGGTTTTGTAGTCAATACTTATGCCTGCCCAAATCATCATCAAACCTCCATTTACTCTGTATTGCTCAGAAATGACACAATCAGCATATCTTTCCACAATTGCAATTCAATCAAGTCTTCTGTCATCATGGAAGTCAAAACAAAGTCGTGACTCGTCTGAGAATAGAACAGAACACCAATGACGTTATTGCCAAATTTTTGTGTTCTGTTACCCACTGTAGTCGATTTCTGCGGCACTCTTATTTAAATAAAGGACGTGCGGCAGGTCGGCAAGCCTGGAGATTTCCTTTCTGAAGTCTGTTTCCAACTGTTTGAGTAGAAATCCTGTCCGGTGCGTCTCAGCAAAATTGGCCAAATAATGATCCTAT